GTGCAATCCGAGTCGTCTCCCAATGATGATAATGTTATATGATTATAAATTTTGATGGGGTTTGATTTATAAAATAATGCTGATTAGAATAAAAATTTAACAAGAATTTAAAAACTCTAATCCAAGAATTTAGAAGAACTACGACCACTCTATCACCAGATTCCAAGAAGATGCATCAACCAACAAATTAGTGATTAACATTAAATTCGAATGAAATCTCAATTCAAATTAAGCATTCACACGAGAACCCTCATGCATTCGATTAATACACAATTCGCTCAAAGTTCAGAAACCTCTAGAACCTAATCGATTTGTGTTAATTTAATTCACCAATGTCAATAATCTTAGATCTCAAACCTGAAAATCTAATTCACACTCCTTCAAGAATTAATTACATACATCAACCGAATAATATATAATCAAACAACTGCACAATTATCAATCCAAACGAAGAACTTCAATTTGAAATCATAATTAGCAAAAGGAGAAAGAAGGAAGAGATGAAACCGAATTTGTTGTTGAATAAATTGCGAAACCAATCTTCAAGAGTATCTCAATCCTTTTTCAATTCTTGGACTAGATGGAAATCTAAGCCTCCATGGATGGAAGGAAACAAGTCATAAAAGGGGAGAAAAAAAAATGAAAAAGACAAGAGAGGAGAAGAGAGAGACGAGCCAAAAAAAATTAAAATTCAAAATTCAAAATTTAAAAATTTCGTTTGTCACTTTGTTCTATTTTTTTGGCTATGAAAACGGCTTCCTTTTGGTTTGTGGCCTGAAGGACAATTGTAGCCTTGGATGTTAGCTTCAAAACGCCACTAGAATGGGCTTAATCGGATATCTGTGGACTGAGATATGGCCCAAATACTGCACCTTGCTCAGAATCCACAACTGCAGCATTTCGACTTTTTCCAGGCCTAGTTTTAGCTTCTTATCATCAGAATTGGTTTCTGACCTCTTCATAAGAATTGTGCGTCTTTCTCTAAGCTTTCCTACAAATCAAGAATCACAATAAAATGAGTTCTACAACTCGAGATATGTTCCAGAAACTAAAATAGTATCAGAATTTACCAAATACTGGAAAAATTAAATAAAGCCCAAATAAAATTCAAATATCATAAAATGATTCAATTCAAACCAATTAGGCACAAAAGAAGATTAATGAGCTAGGAAGGAAAAGAAATAAAGTTATAAAAATCCAATTAATCAGTGTACAATTCTTAATATTTAGGCTACAACAACTTTTTATATTTTTCTAAAACATTTAATACGTTTTAGAACACTTCTGCGTAATCTAAATGCTAAGGTTAAATCTAATATAAATTGCCTTTCCGAAATAAGTCTTAATATTTTTCAAATACTACTAGTTTTTAATATATATATATATATATATTTTTGTTAGTTGAAGTGTATATACAAATTAATACTTATTATAAATGTTCATATTGAATTGTTTTAATAAGAGAATTTGAATTTTATCTTTTTATAAAAAATAATTTTATTTTTATTACTTTTTAATGCATTTCATTTTACCTTTTAATTTAGCTTGCAGGTTTTTTTTTTTTAAAAAAATACTCTTTACCATAATATTTTTATTTTTAAATTAATTTACAATATTTTATGTATTTTTATAATTATTTTTTATGATATTCAATCATTTTAAAAGATTATTATAACAATACCATTTTAAATTTTAATATTATTTAGTTTTAACGAAAAAAATTATTTATGTTAAAAAATAATGATATTGATTTAAGTTTTTTATATATGCTTGAAAACTATAATAATCAACTTTATTATTATATTTTATTATTTTGAATAACAAAAATTTTAATTATTAATTTTTAGTATGGCAAAATATATTATTTATAAAAATATTTTTTATTATTTTATGTAAATAATGAGATTTATTTGTGTAATTGTAAAATTCCTAAAAATTATTATTTTAAATTTAATTTCTGATCGTATTAAATTTACTTTACATACTGAAATAATTGTATTGTCACACTAGTACAAAATTCACATTTTTCTATTTTAAATATGTTTTATTTATTTAGGATATTATATTTCTCATCATTTTAATAAATTTTAAATTTTTTAGTTTTAATTTAGTTTATAGAATCAAATAAATTTAAACATTGATAAATTATTTTGTTAATAGTATTTAAATTAGATTTAAAAAAATCTATTATCTAGAAAAGAGAAGGGTGAACAAACTTAAAAATATGATGATGAATAAAATTCAGCGTATAAAATGAGATTGTAAAATATTTATATTTTTTTATTTTTTATTCAATTTAATATGGACTTAAAAGTTAAAATCTTACTTAAATCACATTAAACCATTTATCATTCGAACTAATTTTCGTTAGTTATATTATTTTAATTTTTATGTTATTATTATTTTTATATCATTATTTCCATTAACCTAAATATCAAATTATACAAAAAATATGATACGAAAACTATAAAAGGATTAATAGATAATTTTTTTTTTCCTTTATCCCTAAAAGTAATTATTTATTGTAAGTTGTTTTGAGATGCTTTCCCCCATTACGAGAATTGAGTTGCTTTTATCTTTATAGACTTCCAAACTTAAGCCACAAGGAGTCGTCGTTCATTTGTGTGGAGAAAAAGAGAAAAAGCCAAATAGTTCTACCTTATATTTTTTATTTAATATCTACCTTATAAAGTAATTATTAAAAAATAAATATAATGATATAAATAAAATCAAGATATTTGTAATATTATGTAATGAATTTTTGAAAGAATTGATTTTTTAAAATATTAACTTCAGTTGCTTATCTATAAATTATCTAATAAACATATTTTTCTAATAAAATTTATATTTTTAAATATTTAAGAAAAATGTATAAAAACTGCTCAAAATATCATAGAATGCTTATATGTTCTATCATTATTATATATAATATTAGAAGCTTTCGGTCAGTACAACATGTAACTTCAGAAGACTAAATGAGTTTGTTATTCAGCCAAAGTTTTTTACAATTGATTGTTTATTTTAAAGAATCATTTTAAATAAAATAAAAAATTCTGTAATACCACGTTATATGTATTAAACATGTTCTTACTTTATCGATTTTATTAATCTGAAAAGCACATTTATATTATAAAAATATTATAAATATTTAATTTTTTATTAAGTGTAATAAAAATAAATAAAATAATTTTTATTTTAATATAAAATTTTTTTAAACTTATTTTGTTCCAATAAAAAAAAATATTAAACAATAAATCGTATATTAGCAGTGTGAAAGCAATATGATAGAAGCGGGCCCCACGAGTATTCTTCTTGTTCCTTTCCCACCCCCCAATCTATTTGTACGGACCAGTACATAATTTCTTTCACAATTATTTTAATATTTATGCAAAGATATTTATTAAAAAAATAACATATTACAAAATTAGTAAATTAATATTTATTAATTTTAATTTATTAATTTCAAATGAAATAAATAATTATACTACTAAAACTAATAAAAAATAATTTTTAAACTCTTTCAAAAAATAGAATAAGGATTATTTATTTAATCCTCATTCAATTTTTTTATTTTTTAAACTTTTTATTTCTTTCACTCTTCCTTTAAATTCATAAAAAAAATAAAATATTAAAATGTGTATAATTAACACATTTTAGGATCAAATTGTATAAAACAACATTTTTAAAGATTAAAAATAATCAAAGTGTTTCTTTTAAAAATCAATTTGTGTATTTACTCTTTCTTTACTCATCCAAATGCTTCAATTAAAAAAAATCCAATTTAGTTTTAATATTATTAAACCAATACAAATATTTTGTTTAAATTTGCTTAATTTGAATTGAAGAAACAATTTCAAGCCACTTCCTTCTTTTTTTTTTCACTGCGAGACCCAAATTTGATCCACAGAGTATTTAAAGTAACAAAAATTTATGGACAAAACTACCATTTTTAATTTCATTAATTTTAGATCTCATCAAAACAGTATCCAAATTAAATAAGTAGTCATATTAACTCCCTCCGTCCCAATGTATTACTTATCCTAAATTTTACTATTTTAAAATAAAAGATAAATAAAAGCATGAAAAAATTTATTTTCAATTTTGTTTATTCGATTTATTTTTTATTTTTTATTTTTTATTGCTTTAAATAAATAACGGATAAAGGAAATATTTTAGCTAAATAATTTTTTAAGCTAAAAATTACTTAATTTTCATATAGTTTATTTAATTTTTTGTATTTTATTAATATTAATTCATAAAATTAATTTTGAGCAACTAGAAATAATCTAATTTCATTAAAACTAATTTATTTAATAAAATAAAAAATATTATTTTTTAATTTTTTAATATAATTTTAATTTAATTGCTTAAAATGAAAGTAGATATTAACAAAATTAACATTTTTCATGTAAATTCTTAAATGATAAATAAACGAGGATTTTTTAAAAAAATAATATTTTTAATTTGAACAAAATATTGCAATGATAAAATGTTATTTATAATATTTTTTTTATTAAAAATTATAAAATTTAATAAAATTCATCTATACTTTTTAATAAAAAATATTATATATAATTTTTTATCATATAATATGATATATATAATAAAAAAATTATTATTGCATAAATTTAATATATTAATAATATGAATTTTTGTAATTTTTCATAAAAAATATTGTTTATAAATTTTTTTATTACTTGAGTTAAGGTGATGTTAGAGAAACAGTTAAATGAATATCCCGGTTTTAGCAGAAATCGAGAATGCAACATAAATCAGAGAGACATGATGATCTGGTGTGGTAGGCTTCATAGAACAGCCTACAAACTAACCGTTGTGATTTTTGTGTCTTTTGGTTACACGTAAATCAAGGTCACCCAAACGACGCTGTATCAATTGAATTCGTACTTGAAAATGATTAATTATTTAGCCAATAAAATTATTACACGTGGTATTCGTACTTCTTCGTGCTTTTTAATCTTTAACTTCCTTCTATTGGAAGTATGTAAGTGTCCATGGCAGTGTCAGTGTTGACTTGATATTGACGATCAAATTCTTTCCCTCAATTTGCTTCGAATTGCTGATACATTCCTATTTCAATCTTGGGTTAGTCTCATTTTCTTCATGTTTTTGCTCTTTCTGCTCATGGTGGGTGATCATGATGGCATGGCACATGGGTGATCACTTTCCTTTGGGATACCAAGATTTTCTTGTGGCTGTTTGATGCATTTGTCGAATGAAAATGCTTTAATGTTGCGTTAGTGTCAAGTTTGAGTTTTCGTTGTCATTTAGTTTTTTTTAAAAGAGTTTTTATTGTCTTATGGTAAGTCTACGCTTGATCATTTCTTCATTTTTGTTTTTGTTTTCGTAAGAATGGGGAACAACAATAGTTGAATTTTGTGCGGCATGAATCATGGTTATTGAGGTTCTGATACTGTGTGATGTCATGAACCATATTTCAAGAAGTGAACCCACATGACATGAATGGTTTTGTTTCTAACAATTGTTCATGGGGTGGTTTTTATGAACTAAATGGGTTTTTCTTTCTTTGACTAGGATGTCCTTTTTTAGGTCTTCTGTTGTATTTCTTTTCTAAATTTTATCACAAGTTATTTGTAATAATTAAGAGTAGATCACCCAATGTTACTTCACTTACCCTTAGCTCTCAAGAGCAACAGAGGAAATAAACTTGGATTTATTTTTTCCAGATCCCCAAATTTACACGAGGGTGTTTATTTATAACTCTTGATTCCCAGTACAACTGTGTTCCCTCCCCCCCCCCCCCCCCCCAAAAAAAAAAAAAACCCACTAACTTCTATTTTTAGAAGTCTGTCCAACAATTTTGGAAATTAACACCTAACTATTTTTCTCAAAATAATATGGAAACTAACTTTGCTAACAGGCCCCTAATTCCACTTATTACATTATTTTGAAAAAATGTTGTTGGAAATATTTTACTTTTAAGGTCAATTTGTCACCGGACTAAAAATGGGGGCGAAGATTTCTTGCATCAGTTGTAATCCGCAAAAGTATAAATGAAAAATCATTGATCGGTTTTATTAGTAAAATAAAGTTGTATTTAAAATTGACCAGTTTTAGTCCTCTATTGTGTACAAAAAAGTTTAACTGATTTCAATTTACTACTTTGTCCAAATGGCTGATAGCAATGGGTTTCCTGAATTGTCCTTGGCCCTATATAGTTTGTTAAAACAATGTTTTATCCTACTCTTGATTTCTATAAATTACAAAACTTTTTTTTTTCATTGATGCATGAATCCATATCATGAACTATGAATAGGGCACTAAATAGTGCTTATTTTGAGAAATGAGGTACCCTAGTTTACTGGATATCAAGAAGAGGTGTAATGCTAAGGTTGTACATTTTTGTATATTCTATCAAATAATGATTCTGTTATTGCAGTATTTATATTTGATGTTTAGCTTCAATTGTATATTCTTCTTTTGATGTGGCTCCTGGAGTTTCAGATTCTTTGAATTCACTCCTTCACACTTATTAACAGCAACTGCTGGTCGAAAGAAAGTTGCTGACATTGTAATCCAGGGATTAGGAAGGTCATAAGATAGGTGGAGGCTACCTTCATATTTATATGGATGAGACATCTGTATTGTGAAGCTGAATATTTGCTGGAATTTGTGATTTAGTTCACTTGTTACATACAAAATGCAGGCTAAAGCTTTAACTTGTTTTTGATGATGAGGTTTTCCTCATTTAGGTCTCTTGGGAAGTTAGTTTTCGCGAGGGAGGGAGAGGGATATTTTCTGTAATCATTCCTCAAGCTGTTAAGTGTGTAATACGTTTTCTTGAAACTTTATTTAATACTTAGCAAATGAAATAATTTTTTAGACAATTTTTAATGAAAATGCATGCTTTGCCTTTATCTCTGCTGCTTCCTCGCTACTTACACAAATACTTGGTGTTTGAACTTCCATATGTTGTGTAATGTTGCTAAGAGTATATTTTTTTGATGGCTGAACATAATCTAAGCTTCACTTAAAAAAGAAAAGAAAGTTTAGTAATTAATTACGAACTGTTTTACACTCATCAAATGAGGTTATTGCTATTATCTTCAAGTTCCATACAGACCCTCTTGGGATTATTTTGTTTAGATTTTGGGTCCATTAACACCTGCACCTGTTACTAACCAAGTTGTACTTGCTACTGCAAATAACTATTGATTTTGTGGAACCAGAGACACATTGATAATAGTTGCTGTTATTTAATTATATGAACGTTCTTGGAAAGCTTTGTTCTGGTTTGACAATATGGATCCATTACTGATTTTAAGTATACGTTCTTAACATTCAGGTTAAAGGGAATTAATTTTGAACCTTTCCATTTTCCTGTTGTGAGTGTACTGGATTCCTATATTATTCATTAGTGCATGGCTCTTTCTCCCAATTTCTATGCATGGGAATATTAGATTGTTATTTGCAGTAAGAACTGAAAGTGTGAATTGCATGCTATTTCTCAACCATTTTGTTTAATCTAAGCTTACACTGTGAACTTATATTTAGTTGTTTCAGAGATATTTCCATCATTAAGGAGTGACTAAGTTTTGCAGATTTGGAAGTCATAAATTTAACAAATTTTGTGTATATGCTCAGTGTATACACAATGTGATCTACATTAACCAGAAGAATGTGGACAAACTTTCTTTGATCACAGCAAATAGTTGAATATTATTTTTTTTACCACTTGTTTTCCTTATCATAATTTGATCGGTGTTCTCCTATCCAGGAAAGCCAATAGAATTAGCATTCCGGAATGAGTAAAACAATTGAGTTGTATGGATTCCCTTCTTTTGTGACTGTGCCTGATGTGAAGATGTTTGTAGAGCAGCATACTGGTGAAGGAACTGTGTTTGCTATTAAGATAAGACAAGGCAAAGGTCGAGTTCGCAGAGCATTTGCTATTATCCAATTCACTTCTGCAAAGTGTGCTACATCTATGATAACCTTAGCTAATGACGTCATGAGAACACTGAGATATGGGACGTCCTATTTAAAAGCTCGCGAACTGGAAAGAGATATTGTGCTAAAGCCAAGACCCTTTTTGCATAGATTGGTTGATGTGAAACTGCATTTTGGCTGTCAGATCTCTAAAGGAAGATTCTCTGTTTTTTGGAAAAAGGTGAATGTTGATGTAAATTTTGGGATTGGAATGAGAAAGTTGCATTTTTTATTTTCACATCACAATGTGCATTACAAACTTGAGCTTTCATATGAGAACATTTGGAAGATTGAGCTGCATCGACCACGGGGTGAAACTGCATCTTATCTCCTGATACAGGTAGTTAAATTTAACATTTTCATCAGCATATTAAAGAATATAATTTGTTTTATTAATTGATTTCTTGTCAAGTGTTGTAAAATAAGTGCTATTGCCAATTGGAATTGGCTTATTGAATATCTCTTTGCCTATGACCATTGCATAGCTTGGGTTTGAATCCAGTGGTCCCCTACTGTTGGGTTATTTTAACTGAGGGAATTTGAGATACTGATTCAATGAAGAATTTTGCATTTGAAAATTATTAGATAAACATAAATCTGTTGCATGGTATGTACTTAGCTTTCCATTTTCATTTTTATTTTTGTTTTGTTTTTTGTTTCATTCTGAAATGCTCGTGGCATATAATGCCTTATGGGTATCATTTATATGTTGGATGGACTATAGTGGATAGTTTGCATATATTTTCTTTTAAATTTATCTTGTTATATCTGGTTTTGGATTTCTTTTAGTAGGCATCTACTTGTTAGGAGCAATGATTTTTCCCACTCAAAGTTTAGAAGAGTCTTTCTTTGATTCCCACGACCTAGATTAGTTTTATCATTGGGAAATTAAAATAATTTTTGATTAAACAATGTTGGGTTATGGAGTATTCATACTTAAACTAACATTACAATATTTTTAGGTTTGGAGTTCAAGGTGAAAAGGGAAGGTAGTTTACTGTTCAGAAATGGTTCTGCAATTTAACTCAGAACATTGGCTTATGGGACATTTATCGCTATTCTTATAACTATATTTGTTACACCTTTTACTTTTACAGCAAGACTGTACAATTCTATAGGTGAAGCCATGCTATTAAGTTATAAAGGAAGGAATAAGTTTATTGCTACAACATTTGCAGTGAACTAGTAATTCACATCTTGAAAATCAATTCTTCTGCAATAATGGATGTAAGGATGTTTTGTTTTGTGCTAAATGAGTTATCATTTGTCAGAGAGAATTTTTTTTATGCAATTTAATATTTACTTCATTATGTATTACTGAAATCCAACTATTTCATCTTTAATTACGGACTTTTATCTTTTTTTATGATTTTCTCTTTTCTGTAATTACATTTTTGAATAATTGCTGCAAATGATGTGAGGTGAGTCTTATTCATTTTCTCTTGTGTTGTTAGTTACTTGGTGCTCCTCGGGTTTTTGAGAATCTTACATCGGCAAATATGTTTGAAAATCCTTCGTTCAACTACTATAAAGATGCCCCTGATGAGCAATGGATCCGAGCAATAGATTTCACTCCTTCCAGTTGTATTGGGCAGTCTTCTGCTATATGTCTGGAGCTTCCTTATGGCCAAAATTTTCCAAATTTCAGGGAAAACTTTGCTTATTATGAGGAAAGTGACAGGCCATACACTTTACAAACAGGAGTTCCTTTTTCTCAAAATCAGGGTCTTGTTCCCATTGTTGCCCCTCCTCATGGCCTTGAAATACCATATGACATCTTGTTTAAAGTTAATTCATTGGTTCAGCATGGTTGTCTTGCAGGTCCTGCACTTGATAGTGATTTCTATCGTTTGGTTGATCCATGTAGAATGGACCTTGAATTCATTGAACATATCTTAGAAAAGATGTACTATTCAAAGGAATTCTGTTATGAACCCACAAAGTGGCTGACTGATCAGTACAGAAGGTACCTTACATCAAAGAATCGTCCTCGGTCACCTGTGATATCCTTGGATACTGGGTTGGTATATGTTCGCAGGGTTCTGATTACACCATGCAAAGTATACTTTTGTGGTCCAGAGATTAATGTTTCGAATCGTGTTCTCCGTCATTTCAGTGAACATATTGATAACTTTCTACGTGTTTCATTTGTGGATGAGGAGTTGGATAAACTGTATTCAACTGATTTATCACAACGTGCACTTGAGAAGAAAACTGAGATATACACTAGAATTCTTTCCATCCTTAGAAATGGCATAGTTATTGGGGATAAGAGGTTTGAATTTCTGGCATTCTCATCAAGTCAGTTGCGGGAAAACTCTCTCTGGATGTTTGCTTCTACAAAATCTGGATGTACTGCTGCTTACATTAGGGAATGGATGGGAGATTTTCGTCAGATTAGAAATGTGGCTAAATATGCTGCTAGGCTGGGACAATCTTTTGGTTCGTCTACTGAAACTCTAAGTGTTCACAGGGATGAAATTGAAATTATTCCTGATGTGACGGTTATACATTGTGGAATTGAACATGTATTCTCTGATGGAATTGGGAAAATATCTCTTGAATTTGCCCAGAGAGTGGCGAAAAAGTGTGGCTATAATTCCACTCCATCTGCCTTCCAGATTCGATATGGCGGGTACAAGGGAGTTGTGGCTGTGGACCCAACATCATCTGTAAAGCTATCACTGAGGAAGAGCATGCACAAGTATGATTCAGATAATAACAAATTGGATGTTTTGGCCTGTAGTAAGTTTCAGTCTTGCTATCTTAATAGGCAGTTGATTACTCTCTTGTCCACTCTTGGGGTCAAGGACTGTGTTTTTGAGGAAAAACAAAGAGAAGCAGTTGATCAACTGAACACTATACTGACAGATTCATTAAAGGCACAGGAGGTTCTAGACTTAATGTCTTCTGGGGAGATCACTAATATTCTCAAGGAGATGCTCATTTGTGGCTACAAGCCCAATGTTGAACCATTTCTTTCAATGATGCTGCAAACGTTTAGGGCATCAAAACTGTTGGAATTGCGACTCAAAACTAGGATCTTTATTCCAGATGGAAGAGCAATGATGGGATGTTTAGATGAAACTAGAACCCTGGAATATGGTCAAGTATTTGTTCATTTTTCTAACAAAAGGCTTGGGAGTCTTTCTGATAATTCTTTTTCATATGGGTTGCAAGAGACTCGTGTAATCACAGGTAACGTAGTAGTAGCAAAAAACCCGTGTTTGCACCCAGGTGATGTGCGTGTTTTAAGGGCTGTGGATGTGCCAGCTTTGTACCACATGGTGGATTGCGTTGTTTTCCCTCAAAAAGGACACAGGTAAATATATTTCTTAAAGATTTCAATTGGTATTGCTAACTTCACGTGTGTTGAAAATCATTTGAATAATTTCCCTTTGAACTGTTTATTGAATGTCAGACCTCATACAAATGAGTGTTCGGGAAGTGATCTGGATGGGGATATCTACTTTGTTTGTTGGGACCCTGAATTGATTCCACCTCGCCCAATCCAACCAATGGAATATACTGCTGCCCCAAGTGAAAAATTGGATCATGATGTGATGATTGAGGTATCGATCATTGAGTTTGAATAGATTATGTGCTAGCTTCATAATTCCATTACATTTGGTTATTCAAACAAGCTTATTTTTATCCTTCTTCTCACACTCCCATTTTTAACTTTCTTTTCACCCGTTTGCATAATCAATCTTCACAAATATTAAGTCCTTTTAACATTTAAAATACATCTAAAGGATTTTGTTTGATTTTACACTTTATATTACCTTGGCTGCCTGACTAGGATTTTGAATTTTGGTCATATCAAAAACAATTTTACTTTTGTGATAGTATTATGTTTCCAGTAGCGCAATATTATTATTATTATTATTATTATTATTATTATTATTATGATTAGCAAAATATTAGTTTGAAATGTTGCGAATTAATTTTATATTAACAACTCAATGAAGCGTACTCTATAAATGTTATATCAACAACTCAAAAGCAATAGTAATAGTAGAGATGGTGAAAGTGATAACAATGTTAGTGGTAATAATAGTAATAATAATGGAGTCAATGGAGTGATGGAGGTAATAGTGGCAAATGTATAATTGTGATGTGGGCATTTTTTATCCAGATCATTTAAAGTAACTACCCTGACCTGCCTTAATGGGCAGAGCGCATGGTTTTTAGATTCACTATCTTTTGATTGTTCAGTTCTGCAGCATGAAATTTGGATGAAGTTTACAACATGCTTTCTTGGTGCAGGAGGTTGAGGAGTATTTTACCAATTACATACTTAATGACAGTCTCGGAATAATTGCCAATGCACACACGGTGTTTGCTGATAGAGAACCTTCAAAAGCAATGTCCAAGCCATGTATTGAGCTTGCAAAGCTGTTTTCAACAGCGGTTGACTTTCCAAAAACTGGTGTCCCAGCTGTTATACCTCAGGAACTTTATGTCAAAGAATATCCTGACTTCATGGAGAAACCTGACAAACCCACCTACGAATCATGTAATGTAATAGGAAAGCTCTTTAGGGAAGTGCAAGGAATATCAACTAGTGCTGGTTCTATTTCATCTTTCACTTTGGAACTGGCAATAAAGTCATATGATCTTGACATGGAAGTTGATGGTTTTAAGGATTATGTAGATGATGCTTTCTATCACAAAAGAAATTACGACTACAAGTTAGGAAACCTGATGGACTATTATGGGATCAAAACTGAAGCTGAAATTCTTAGTGGAAATATTATGAAAATGTCAAAATCTTTCAACAAAAGAAGGGACGCAGAGGCAATCAATATGGCTGTGAGGTCCCTAAGGAAAGAGGCCCGGACCTGGTTCAATGATAGCAGCAGTGGAGTAGATTCTGGGAGTGATGATGCATATGCAAAAGCTTCTGCTTGGTACCATGTTACTTATCACCCCGAGTACTGGGGTTGCTACAATGAAGGTATGAATAGGGATCATTATCTGAGCTTCGCATGGTGTGTTTACCCCCAGCTTGTACTAATCAAGAAGGAGAAGATCAGCAGCATTAGACGTTTGAATTTGAATTGACATCTCTGTACTTTTCACTCTCTTTGTTCCAGCTGGATTTCAGAAGCATCTTATGCTTATATTGATTAACTGCATGTATTGATTTGTGGTAATATCATAAAACTACTGTACCGATTGTATTGTATCATAAAATCACTGGGTATAGCTACTATATCAACTACTTTCTATCGTCCATGACATCTTTTAACCCTTTCTTTAACACTATTAATGGGTGAATTGTGTGTGCCCATCTGTGATCTTACGGGTATTTTGTGGGATTCAAATGGTTCCTATAAAGAGTACCATTGACACACTTATTTTAGGCTCACTTTGATAGCAAAACTGCACTATCACTTTTTTCTTTTTGGCCTTTCATCATATCAGAACAACTTTTCAATATAAAAATGTCTTCATCGTCAATCTACATTAAACAAGAGTAATCAAAGATCCTTTTTTGTTTGGGAATATTTTAGTGCTTGATTGAAAAGGTTTGGGTAAAACATGAGTTGCGATGACAAGCTAATTGATATAAATCAGTTGCATTATCTCTTTTTAACTCTAAAATCTCTATCTGCAAAGGGTAGTTGAATTGTGAGTTTTTATTCGGTTTACAAGTCTTTTTTATTTTATATTATTTTTATATATTAATTTTTTAAGTTTAAATAAACAGACACTAATTAATTATATTAGATTGATCTAAAATATTTTTCACATGACGAAATGATTCCTTTTCCCTAATCGTTTTGCAACTCCTTCTACGACAAGGAGTTGACGTGGAATTGTTGATTTGAGGGACAAAAACAAAGAAAAAGCAAAATGATGGTGTGTAGGCTCACAAGTATTCTTTGTCATTAGAATTTGGAAATTTCTTAAATACCATCATTAGTCACTCATGAATTAGTGCTTCTCTTAGGAACCTATGCGTCATAGGTTGTGGTTTTGGTCCATATTCAAAGAAATAAAATAGTTGTGGAGGATAGGTTAACTAAATTAGGTTATTTATGGCTTTAAGTCATTCTTATTCTAATGCTGAGGTGGCTCAAAGTTTCTTTGATAATGTTTTTAAACTACGTGACTTTCCTAACTCCATTACCAGTGACAAAGATTCAATCTTTATTAGTCAGTTTTGGAAGGATTTGATGACTTTCCAAGGAATGCAAGTTCAACTTTCCACTATCTATCATCTTTAGATAGATGGGCAAACTGAAGTTGCCCGTAGGTGCTTAGAAACCTTTCTAAGATGCATGTGTGTAGATGTTCCTCATGACTGGTCCAAGTGGTTAGCTTTGGCTGAGGGGTGGTATAATACATCTTACCATAGTACTATTAAAACAGTCCTTATGAAGTGGTTTATGGCTAGCCTGTTCGAGCTTATCTTCCTTACTTACTAAAAGAATCGAGAATAGAATTAGTTAACAGAAGTTTACAGAAAAGTGAAAAAGCATTGAAGCTCATCAAATTTTATATGAGAAGGCCCCAAGACAGGATGAAACAACAAGCTGATAAGCATAGAAGTGACAGGACATTTCAGATTGGAAAATTGGTGCATGTCAAGCTGCATCCTTATAAACAAATCTCTGGCTTTCAAGAAGAATGCAAAGTTAACTCCAAAATATTTTTGCCCATTCCTTGTGTTGGACAGAATTAGAGCAGTGGCCTATAAGATCTAGCTCCCTACTCATTCTAAAGTTCATAATGTATTTCATATTTTTCAATTAAAGAAACATGTGGGAGAAGCTGTGACATCCAATTCTATTCCTTTGGATGACATAGATGTTATTGGAGGCAAAGAATCAAAAGCTATTTTTGATAGAATGAATGTGAAGAGAGGAAACAAAGTTGTTACCAAGGTCCTAGTCAAGTGAAAACATCAACTACTCAAAGAGGCTACATGGGAGTTCTTGTATGATCTTAGAAAGAAGTATCCTGACTTCAATCCTTGAGGACAAGGATTATGACAAGGAGGAAATATTGATATAGGACTTTGTAGATGAGTCATGCTTAGTTGGACATCTAAATTTTGTTATTTATGAATAAATTGGTTAGTTTCTTTAATTGGAAGGTTGTTAGGAGTTGTTAGTGGTTGCTAACTATAAATAGTAGCTGCATTCCAGAATTTTGATTTATCCTAGATCAATTGTAAAATTCTGTAATTCCCTCTCTAATTCAATAAAATTTTTCAATTCCATTCTCTCATTAGTTCCCTAATTCTTCCAATTTTTTGAATTATTCTTTTTCCTAGAATTGTTTACATCAATATCCTGTTTAATTTTCCGCTCTATATTATTTTTAAAAATAAAAATGTATTATTTTATAATTATATATATAATATACTAAAATATAGAATATAATTCTTATATTGTGTTCTATTCTTAATATTTGTATTTGTTATCGATTTTTTGTTAAATTAAGTGTGTCTAAACTTTTTTTTTTTAAATCAGAAGTACCTGAACTTATGATAAGCCGAAGGTAAACAAGATATTTTTTAGGAGTTGCATTATTCAAATTCAATAGGATTTGTTCCTTTTTTTTCATTATTTATTAAAAATATAACATCATTATTATATTTTTATATAAATAATAAAATACAAATATACAGACTAATTTACAAACATATTAATATAAACATTAAAATATAAGATTTTTTTATTATGAAAAAAAAATGAGTTTTTTTCTTAAATAAAAACTGATGTAGAAAATAAAGGTTAAATTTACAATTAATGTTTAAAAAATAAAAATAAGAAGGAAAACTATTTAAAATTCTTTAACTTCTTATGTTGGAATTCTTTGAGACTTCAATGTGTTAGCTGAAAGTAGATCTAGTGGTAGTGTTGATTTTAGATTGGCTACAATTTCTTTCTATATGTTTATTTGTGACAGCTGATACCTTCATTCTTCAATTATTGAGTCAGTCCTAGTTTCTTTACTTTTTCTCTTTCTTGACATCACAGTGAGATGAGTTTTCACATGTTCATACTTATAGCCACAACAACTTCCTCTTTTCTTTGATATCCCAAGAGTTTCATGCATAGCTAAGGCAATTTGATGTATTTTTTAAACTTACTTTGATCTTTTTCTAATTATTAAAACAATTTATTTATTAAAGTTTGAATGTAGTTTGTGAACTACCTTATTTTGGGAAATGAATAGCTTAATTTACTAGTTAACAAGAAAATATGCAATGCTAAGGTTATGAAGTTTTATGTGTACCATCATGTAATATTCATTCCGTTATTTGAGTATTTATATTGGTTCTTGAACTTTGTTAACAATATGCTATATAACTACTTTTGAATTTTTTTTTTGTTATTAGACCAATGTTCTATTCAATAAGTAGTTTCTACATTTTAAGAATAATTTGATTTGTTATCCAAGTTTGTTAAAAATCTTTCAAATTATGTAGTTAATTTATGTTTTATTTGAATTATTATAAATGTATAATTACTATTGAATAAAGATGAGTTCATTTCCCATTTATTCTCCTTACAATTTTACGCATTTTTTCCTTCTTTCTGTCTTTTTTTTTTTTTTTTTTTTTTTTTTTTTTTTTTACTTTTGAGCCATAAAAATCAACAAAGTGGTATCAATAACTGTCTTTTTCTTACAGACCTTTGAAAATAGATGCTGAATCAAATTTCTTACAAGTTGATCCTTGTATCTTTGATAGAGAAAGTTATGATCTTTGGACTATCAAAATGGAGACTCACCTGGAGGTTTTGGATCTTTGGGAAGTTGTTGAAGAGGATTACGAAGTTTTCTCGCTGTTGTACAATCCTACCATGACTCAAATAAAATGTCACAAGGAAAGAAAAACAAGAAAGGCAAAGGCAAAATTATGTCTTTTTGTTGGTGTTCGAACAACTATCTTCAACAGGATTATGACTTTAAAAATAGCAAAAGTGATGAGATTAAAAAAGGCTCATTGAAGACAAAGACTTAAAGACAAAGTCTTGAAGATATTGGAAGAACTTTAAGGACCAATGGCAAGAGTAAAGGCAAAAAGGATAAAGGGAAACCTAGAGAAAATTGATGAATCCAGATTTTGATAGGTTTTTTGTTAGTTTTCTATGATCTTTTTAATAGAAAAATGTAATTTAGAAGATGAAAACCTCATAAAAAAATAATTATTCAATAAATTCAATTTTTGCTTTTAATAACTCAATTTGTTTAGATTTAACAGAGTTCTTATACAAAATTTGTTGTTGAATTAGTTTTGCAAGAGATTCAAAGGAGAAACACATGATTTGGAAGCATTAAGACGTCAATTGGGCTAAGTGTAGTCACTTTCAGTGCAGAAAGTGAAATTTTAGAGGCCTAAAAATCAATTGATGATGAATATAGTCACTTTCTCCATCAAAAGTGAAGGTGTCAGAGGCTTTTGAGAAAGTAGCTTGAAATAGAAATATATAGTGCACGTGGTCACTTTTTAGACCAAAAGTTATCACTTAAAAGGATTTAAATGGAGTATACTTTGCGCGAAGTGAGTGTTCCAAAGAAGAAATATAAAGGGCCAAGAGTTAGCACTCCAGAGAGTAATTGTAGTTGTGAATCTGTGCGTAAACCCTTTCAGTGTAGAAAGTGAGTGTTTCATAATGCTGTCAGAAGAAAGACCCTATGCGTAAGCACTCTTTGTACCAAAATTCAAAGTTCTAGAATGCTATCAAGAAAGGACAGACTGCGCGTTTAATGCCCCAATTTTCGTAAAATAGCTAGCGACTCTTAAATCGTAATTGCTTGCTAATTCTGGCTTGCTAGTATCGGAATAATTAGATAGATGCTGATTTTTATTTTTATAGAATATTGATTGATTTCTGAGTCGACATTTTAGGCTAACTGCATGCAATATATTTGGTTTCAATATCGTCTAAGAATTTCTCTGATTATGTTCAGTTGTACTGTCTAAAATACCCCTGAGAGTTTTATCCGAAAAGTCAATTTTTGTCTTATTTAAATAATTGTCAAATCATAATTATCTGCCTTGAAAAACATGAGATTTAGTAATCATTGCATTAAATTTTTAATTATTTCTTAGCCGCCAAAATTATTGCACGGAATCTCACGAAATCTGGTAATCATTACTTCGAAGATTTCCAAATCTAGTATCGGCCACTAGATTTTCATGCATGAAACCTTGTCCCCCAATTTGCAAACATCGTGATTACCCGAATCTTCCAAATTCTAGTATTGGCCACTAGAATTTCATGCAAGAAGATTTTGTCTCCCGATTTGCAAACATAATCATTTGGAACATTCTTTTCTTGTCTTCCAAAAATGCCTACACCATGATTGCTTTAATCAATTACCTTTTCTTGAATTTAGCACCACATCAAATGTC